TCAGAGACGCATTATCAGACTTCAAAGGCATACTGATAATCTGGACCAGAGTACACTCTGGTTGACAGGACGGTTATATTAGACTGTGCCCTGGGTCAAATTACAGGGCTGATTTTATGTCATAGTCTGCCCCTGTCACACATCAGTAACAATTCTTTGTACTCCAGCAACTCTCGTGAAGATACATATAAAGGGAAGACTTGGAAGAACCCTTCTATATGCATGACAGATGGGATATGATGTACTTCATGAATAGTAAAATTGGCACACTCATTAACTGAATCCATCACAGTGTGTCCTCCACCACAGCAAGATGATCAGTATCAATGTAAATACATGAACAAATGGACTGACGTGAGCGTGATGACTGAGTTTCAGGTCAGTATATCTGACCTGAGCAAACAGACAGTAGTCGAGTGGAATATTGAGCAAAGCTGATATGCTATCAGCGGACATTCCGTTGTAGATAGTCAAGGTCAACAACAGAGATCAAGACACAGTAACTGTCAGCAGGTCAATATATTCTCATTGGAGTGATGCATGAAGAGACAGAAAGCTAGCTCTTTAGAATGAGGTGACGTTCAACAAAACTGAATGTGATTCACCCATAAAGGTTCCAGTAATTCATCTTAAGTGTCTGTTATGGTCATTTATAAACAGCTGTTCATTATTTTTATTATGGTGACCTAACATGCCACCTTCCCCTTTTCTAAAGAGTGTTGCACAGTGCTCAAGCAGACTAAATAATCTAAAATAAAACATATATTTCAGATAACTCTGTGAATTTTACATGCATTTTTGCACTCAGAAATTAGAAAAGTCTTCTAGTATTTGGCTCAAGCTGCCAAAAATCAAGACCAAATAATATATTTGCTTGTGAAAACTATCCTTTTGGCTACCTGAGCCAACCCCTCCTAATAATTGTTCATGTTACACTACAACATTATAGAAGTAATTTCAGTGATAGATTCACCCAACTGAGAGCTTTAAATTGGGTTCTGAAAAACACAATTGGATACAGAATTTACTGTACCTGTTGTGAGCCTGCTCTTGGGCTGACCGGAAACAATCTAAACTGTGATATTAATTGATTATGAACAATATTTGTTTTGTTATGGCTCAGGAGGCACGTTGTCCTGTCATTTAGTAATGGTGGCCTATATGGTGGTCGAGATCTGCATTCATTGTGCGGAAATAATACTTCACCACAAAAATATAGATCCAAAATAGTTTGCCATACAACAATTAGTAACCATACTGATAATATTACAAATAAGAGAAAAAGACCCTGGTAACTTTTGTTTGTCCAGTTCTTGTTCTGTACTCCCATCTTGTGGTCAAACAGAAACATGACATAAATAGCTTTAAACATTTTAAAATTTGTGAATGTTGGTCCTAGTTTAGCAAGAAGCATTTGTACAGATGATACATCCGTCACTATAAATAATAATACAATCGAAAGGAACATGAGTTCTATGTTTTTGAAGCCCATAGTTGAAAAGGAAATTATAGAGATAGTGAATAAATGTGGTAACAAAACATCTAGTGATAGTGATGGTATCACTATGACAACTGTTAAATGGGTAATTGAGGGGATATGCAAACCATTAACCCATATTTT